GGGCTCCCCTCCCTGGGAGGTGGTCGGCAGCCCATTGAAGGACCGGGATTGTGGTGACTGGAAGGGCAGAGATTCCTGAGAATGGTGGGGGGCATAGTTTAAGAGTGCAAACAAGGTGGAAAGGTTTTCAGTCTGTCCTCAATTCGGTGACCACGCGTAGCAAGGAGGTGAGGATGTCTGTCTCCTGCTTTCCCAGGCATGGTACTCTTCTTTGCCTCTCTCTTTTGATACGATCACATCTCAAGTATGTTGGTCCCGTGTTCTGGTGGCTTCGGCAGGAAGATGTTAACCCACAGAGAGCCGTGGGGGACTTGGGGTTCTGTGGTAGCTAATTCCTTCTCTTTTTTTTTTTTTTTTTTTTTTTTCTTCCCAGGTGCTGCTGATGGGTAAAAGTGGGTCTGGGAAGACCAGCATGAGGTCCATTATCTTTGCAAACTACATCGCCAGGGACACGCGGCGCCTGGGTGCCACAAGTAAGACTTCTCCTGTTTGAACTGCAAATTTCTCAGGGCTCAAAACGCCATCATTAAAGGGGTGAGGCTGTTCCCTCCAGCAATCCCTGCCTCTCCTCCGCTCTGGGGTGGGCGGGTGGGTGTCTGCTGGTCCTCCCGGCTGCCACACCTCACAGGGAACTTCACTCCCGAGTTCAGCTGAGGGCAGGTAGGAAGTTGGAGTGAAAGGGAAGGCAGCACTGGGTTCAGTTTTGCTGCTTTATTGAACTTTTATCCTTAACTCTTTTTTTTTTTTTTATCAGTACGCAGCCTTTGCTGCAGCTACACCTGTTATGGGAGGAGTGTTCAGAGCCTCCTCATGGTCCTCTTGTTGGTGAAGCTTTCCTGTTGTTAGCCAGCTGATGGTTGGCGCAGTGGGAGATGCAGTGATCTTGCTGCGCGCCCGTGGTTTTTGTGGGATGATACACTAGGCTTAATTAGGGTCTTCTGCCTCTTTTTTTTTTTTTTTTTTTCCCAAAGCCACTGATCTGAAAAAGCAATAAGTGATTCCTCTGAAACAGGGGTATGGATTGTCAGGATCTAACGTTCCTCACTGGGAAGCATCTGTGAGGACTTCGTGTCACGGTTTGGTGACATTAAACTTCCTCTCTGCTGTAAACTTGGCCTGCTTGTAAAGTTTACAGTCTTTGTGTTACTGATTTATTTTTAAGGCTTGCTTAAGGCCTTGCAGAGTGTGCTGGAACTAATGTCGTTCTTAAAATATCACAGAGATCAGAGAACATGTTGTTAAAGGGGAACCACCTGCTGTGCTTCTCAGGAGAACAGTGTCCTGGGTAGAGAGCAGGAAGGCTTGAATTACTCTGGGAACTGTCTTTTTCCGTAGCGCCTTCAGCTACTGATTTACGTGCAACGGTATTGTTTAGATGGGATTTTACAAATTGTGGGCCGTGTTGTGAAGAGTGGCATTTTTGGCTGCCGGAGGAGGTAGCTCTGATCTGGGCGTGTGGCACAGCCGGTAAACTCCTGTTGTCTCTTTCCAGTTGATGTGGAGCACTCCCATGTTAGATTTCTAGGAAACCTGGTATTAAACCTGTGGGACTGCGGAGGGTAGGTACTGTTTATTCTTTTGCTTTTGAAACCGTTGGGGGTTAGCTCTGGGGAGTAAGGCTGGGGATGTAACAGACAGAGGTCCTCCTGCCCCCGAGGGATGAGGATGCTGTTTGTGTGTGAACATGTGTGGAGGTGGGTGGAAGAGGTCGGCACAATTACACTGTCTCTTGGGTTATCGCTACGTAAAAGGAGCAGCGTGTAGGTCCACCCTTCCCTTGCTGGCTGCTTTCTTCTGCTGGCACAAAGCCTGAGCCCTTCACCTGGGCTTTCTCCTGAGGCGGTGGGTGGTGACGCTGGTTTCAGAGTTGCTTATCACCAGCTTGATCCAAACGGGGCATGTGTTGAGAAGCGACGCTGAAGGTTGACAGTGATCCTGTGGCTCCTGGAAGCAGCTTTTTTGAAGAACGCTCTCCCGCTGACAGAGCCCCAACAGAGCCATCCGACTTTGTTAAGCTTCAGCAGCTCTCGTGTCCTCATGTGTTGTCTGAGCCACATGCAGCAGAAGTTAAAGGAGATTTAAACGCTGTAATAAGATGCCACGCTGATGGGTTTGGTTGTGTTTTACCTTCTGCTGCTGTGGCTTTTTTATACGCAGCTCTCCAAAAGCCAGTCCGGGTCCAGAAGCACCGTAGCTCCGTTTGCGCGGGACACCGAGCAGTGAGCTGTGATGTGAGGGAAGCATCGGCTTCCTGTGAGAATGGGGAGCAGATGCTCTTCAGGAGCATCCAGCTTGGCTTGGTTGGAAGTACTTAGGGAGCCTTATGTCATGGGGAATATAGCCACCTGTGGGGCTCTTGTCTAGACTCCTGTGATGGGGTCTCGAGCTCAAAACGCAAACCTTGCCTTTCTAGCAGGAGGTGTTTTACGTGTAGCACCTCTCCTGACAGTGCTAAGCAAGACCTGGTTGCTCTAATGGACATCTCTCTGCTTCGTTGCTCTGCTCCTTCTCAGGCAGGACACCTTTATGGAGAACTACTTCACCAGTCAGCGGGACAACATCTTCCGCAACGTAGAAGTCCTCATCTATGTCTTCGATGTAGAGAGCCGTGAACTGGAGAAGGACATGCACTACTACCAGTCATGCTTGGAGGCAATTCTTCAGAACTCTCCTGATGCAAAGATCTTTTGTCTAGTGCACAAGATGGACTTGGTGCAGGAGGATCAGCGGGATTTGGTGAGAGGCTGATAGTTGCCATAGAAATGCTTTCAAATAGAACATCTTTTGACTGTGTTGACGCATTGTGATTTCATACTTCAAATACAACCCCATCGGCACTGTTCCTAGAAGGGTTCCTCAGATGTTAAGAATTGTCAAAGCCCTCTAAGCTTTTTCTGCCTTTTCTAAATTGTATGTCATTACTACCTCTTGCGTATAATCTAGTGGAAAACAGAACTAATGATTTTTAGTGACAACTATGCTAAGGCTTTTCTTTTATAGCACTGGTTCTAGTACTTTCACCAGACCTTGGCTTCAGAACAGCGGTAGAACTGAAAGAAATCGGGTGACCTTAAACTCACTGCTCACCATCTGGATGGCTTTGTGGATGGTGGTGGTGATGGTGATGGTTGGTTTCTCTTTAGCTGTTGCTTTCAGTCCAGCGTAGCCTCTGTTCTAAAGTGTAACAAAATGAAAAAAAAAAAAAAAGAGATTGAAACTTTCCCAGTTGCCTTGAAGGTGGTTTCTGTCAGTTGATGCTGTTCTCTGTCAGTTTGACCCACCTGCCCAGAGATCACCTCTTAAGCACTCCTCTGCCCCAGCAAAGGCAGGGGATGCACCTTTCAGAGATATTTGGTGTGTTCTGTTCTTCTCGGAGGTTTTGAAAGGTTGCGAGGAGATGGGAAGGTGTCGAGTTCCTGCCAGCCTTGCTTTTTCAGCCTGGACTGAAAAGCAACCTACTCCCGATACCAAAAGGAAAATCAGCTTTGTAGGTTAGACAAGCACATCCCTGGCTGCTCGGCCGCTCCCTGGCTTGCAGCGAACTTGGGGGCTCCTTTAGGCTGTTGGCTTTTGGCTGAATTAGGAAGTCTTACTAAACTTTCTTCTCATTCCTGGTGAGTATGTGCCTGGGCAGCTGCAAAGGAGGCGGCGCGAGGTCCTGTGGTTGAAACCACCCCCTGACCTCCCCACGTAGCCAGACTCCCTCCACATAGCAGGTTGGCTTCAGATCTCTCCCGCTGCCTGAGTGTGGTGATCCTCTTCCAGTTTTAGTTCTTCCCTCCAGCTCAGTGCAGAAAGAGCTCAAAGAGCTTCTCACAGGGTTGATTCAAGGAGCTTTTCCTCACTTCCATCTGCCTTCCCCCCAGACTGAAGGATGAGTCTAAAATTGTCTTGATGCTGTTCTGTCCAGATTTGTTTTGGGACTAGTAGGCAAACGCTGGTTTTGTATAGTTGTGCAGACTCCAGCGAGGTCCTGAAGTGAGGAGTAGATGGAAGAGGGGCCTCACTTCAGATATGCTTTCAGCGCGTATCATTGCCCATCCATCAAGATCTGTTTTAAAGTATCTGCTTCTCAGAAGAAGGTGCAAATGCTGGGCCAAATCGCTCTCTCTGTAAGTCTTATTGAAGGCTTTGGTATCCCAGGACCCAAGTGGTAGGTGTCGGCCTACGCAGCATTTCATGAAGATTGGTTAATGTCCCGAAAACCAGTAAACTGAGGTGAACGCGGTCATCATGTCTTCCCCTGCTGGGGCACGTTGCTGGCTGTCCTGCTGCTTTTTTAGCACTTCTGTAGGAGCCTGGCACGAGGCTGGCTGCTCTTTGCCGTTCCCCCTGTTCCCCTTTTTTTTGTAACCATAACTTCTAAGGGCAGAGTATGGTGTGAGAAGAGAAGACATGCCTCAGATCTCCTCATATTAATAAACCTCGAGTGCTTTCTTCCTATCCTGTTCTCAGTGACGGAGCTTCTTGCCTGTGACTGGGGACTTGTCAAAATTTAGGTCCTCGGAGACACTCATGCGTGTCCGCTTCCATTCCCACTCCGCAATAACCCGTAGTTATTTCAGCTTTGAGTCTCAGTCAGATCTGTTGCGAGACAGCCATGGTCTGCTCGTCCCCGCTGCGCCAGCGGAGGGGGCTTTCTGCCAGCCTGTCCTGGCCAGCGGGCTCTGCTGTTGTCTTTTCTCCCAGTGCTGCAGGTACTCGAGGGCTGTTTGCAATGCACGCTGTAAATGCAACGCAGCAGCCACACCGAAGACAGAAATAGTTACACTCAACTGCTAATCTTTTTTTTTTATTATTATTTTTATTTCCCAGATTTTTAAAGAGCGTGAGGAAGACTTGAAGCGCCTTTCCCGTCCCTTGGAATGTGTTTGTTTTAGAACTTCCATCTGGGATGAAACACTTTACAAGGTTTGTACAGATTCCTCTCCGTATCTGCCTTCCCCCCTCCCACTTGAAAACACGAGCATGAGGAAGGCGAGTGGTTTGTTGCTACTGGTTACTAGTCACTGGTTAGTGACTGGCCTTTTTCAGTTCTGCAGCAGCTGCTTCTGTTGTAAATGGCATCAGAGCATCCTGGTTTTAATTAGAAAAAGTAAAACCCCTCCACATGTTGGAGTCGTGGTGTCGGCGTGTTAACACTGCTTCAACACTTTGCCTGGCTACTTTAGAAAGAGCTTCTGCCTCTCTTAGTCCTGTTTATCCAGCGTGGATAATTGTTTCCCGTGCTTCTCTGCAGCACTGTTAAAAGATGAGCATGTACCCTTTTGGGAATTTGCTTTGCTTTCAGAAGGGAATGGGGTTTTTTGCCGTCGCTCTTGACTGCAGTGCCAGAGGTCTTCGAGGTGTGTGAGGGGTGAGTGCTCCCTGGGCTACTCTGGTGGCAGATGATGGCTATCATTGCCAGCTAATGCTGATGAGCAGTGATGGTAGCTGAAGAACGACTGGTGAAGGTCAATGAATCACTGAAAGTGAGGACCGTTTGGCTCTTTCTCTTCACTTGAGGGAGACTTTGGATGGCAATTTTCACCGTCCTGGCAAATCCATCCAAAGCCGTAGCAAATTCCCGTTCCTTCAGAGTGTGCTGTGTTCGGCTGAGGCTGATACAGTACCGTACGCCAGATATCACTCTTCACAAAGCACGTGCCCAGCTCCCTCTAGAAATTGGCCTTCCCGAGCAGTGGCATACCCTGTCATCCTGCTGGCATCCCTAACGTTCATCAGTTATGCTGGTTACCCTATTTGAGGTATTCCAGACAGAGCCCTGCTGGAGCTCTTCAGAGCTCCTGCTTTTGGTTTGGGCTTTTAACGTTGAGTTTGGGAAGTGGGATGGTAGGAGCGTTTGGTAAATATTGGGTACTTGGTAAACAGGAGACGCAAATATCCATCCTGACTCCCAGTGGGGGAACATATGGTCAGGCACTGGTGCAAACCCGGAGCAGTAGGTAGGCGGTGAGGTGAAGCTGAGCTTAGAGGACCCGAGTCTGAATGGGGACAGATGCCTGTTACAGCGTCCTCAGTGCCTTCTGGGCTTGTTCCTGACTCGTTGGGTTAGATTAGAGCTTTCTGTTCCCACCAGCTGCCAAGTATCCATCTGCACGTTGACCTTGCTAAAGATTTAAAAAAAACTCTGAAAACTTGAGCAGGTTTATCTGGGAGCAGTAGGTAGAAGCATTGCCAGCTTAAAATGAGGATGATTTAAGCCTGTTTAATAGTATTCTAGTTTCTCTGTGACTGTTGTGGAGAAGAACTTGACCTAGTGAAGAATTCACTCAGGTCTGGGGTGCCACTGGTGGTCTCCTCTGTAGGAGAGATACCTGGACGCGGAGGTGGGAGAACCTTCTCAGTCTTGCCCAGGCTATCGATACGCAGAACTGCAAATCATCAGGTTTTGAGCACATTTCATAACAAAAGGATGAGGCAGAGTAGTGTTAATGCAGCCCTTCTGTTGTGTCTTTCTTTCTTGGCAGGCTTGGTCCAGTATAGTCTATCAGCTCATCCCCAATGTCCAGCAGCTGGAAATGAACCTGAGGAACTTCGCTCAGATCATCGAGGCAGATGAAGTGCTTCTGTTTGAGAGAGCCACGTTCCTGGTGAATACAGCAGCCCTGCCCTTCGGGTTCCTCTGCCCAGCCTGGGACGGAGCTCCCTGGATGGAAAGTGCCGTTGTGGCAGTAGCCTAAAGAGAGGTGCCAGCGCCAGGCGGCAGAACGCTCTGATCCAGGCCTTGTGATAGTGAAAGTAGCTGATGGGCCTCCACGGCTCACGGGACTTTCCCAAAATTTCCACTTCTAGCAGTTGAACTCAGGGCTCGATGGGTATTTCCCTCTTCCAAGCTGTGAGAGGGTTTCATATCCCCATGCTGTTGTGAGCCGTGGGACTTTTTGGATAATTCCTTTCTGCATAGGTTCTGCAAGAACCTCCTTTAGCGTGAAATAAGCCTTTTCAGTTCCTCCTGGCCTGGCATTTTAACTGGTCTTGATTTCTTTTTTTGTTGTTGTTGTTGTTTTGTTTTATTTGATGCTCTACAAACCCTGAGTATGGATAGAAGATCACAAGCGAATGCATTGCGGTGGCTTTCAGAGTTGCCGGCTGCGTAGTAACTGTGTGTCCGATCTGTTGTCTCTGCAAGGTACAACGTGTCGGTTAAAGCCACCGTTGCTGCTTTTCTGTCCATACTCTCGGTTTCTGGATTGGTCTCTTCAGACTTTGCACCAAAACTCCTGCTGACCCGAAGGAAGGGTTTTGAACTTTTTTTTTGGTTTTTTTTTTTTTTGAGTGCTCTCCTTTGATGGCCACATGTCTGCTTGTGAAATGAGGGGGGGAATGTGGAAAGGGAGCCATTACTTTTCTCACTTCTTAAACTATCAGAAGTAAACACCTGCCATTTCTGGCAAGTTCTGCTTTTTGACCTTTTTGGAGATGATAAATAGTTCCACCTTGGTGGTGTGTAACAGTACTTTCATTATAAGTACTTTTTTTTTT